TTCTCGCACACATCTTTTATCAGCATTTTGATGCGCCTCATCGAACAACAACCCAACATGCCAACAACATTGTCGATAGTTTGTTTTCCTTATATCCGTCCATTGCTAACTCATGAGCGCATCTTATCACGTGATAGTTATCTCTATATGAATATGCGTGAAAGTAATTCTGAGGTTTACTGGAAGAAAAAAGCTAAATGATCAGAGGAAGCTTACCGGTATCACTATTGCTGAGCATACTTAGGTAACAACCTCAACCACTTAAAAAAAATAGGTGGCGGGGGGTTGGTCATGATTGACAGTGGTTCAACTGGGGGTTACGAAGAAAAGTTTGAACAAGGGAAAGAGAACTTGACGCTATTGCCCTGTGAGGTCAAGGTTCTGTAAGTCCGGATTAGTTTGTTTTTCAAATTCATCCGGTTTGGAGTGTTTGTACAAGACACAATGGCGGCTGCTATTGAAGTGTGTGAGATGGGACACTGCTTATCTTGCACAATATTGCGGAGGTGTTCAATTCATTTGTCAGATAGCCAGCGTCTCGTCTCACCTAGGTAAACCATATGGCAAATAATGCAAATAATGCCGTATAGGCAACCTTGCGGCTAGTACAATGGAAACCGTCCCTTATCAAAAACTGCCCCTACCCCCTACGGTTGGGAAGCCTGAGCGTGCATGACCCAAACTATCTGAAGTCTTTCCCCTTTATTACGATATTGATGACTATAAGGGATAGAGGAAACCATTGTGTTGCACACATTTTAAAGGTTATCTTTTTAATTCTGAAACTAGCGATAATATGACAAGGAGGTTACGGAAGTTGGAGCTCGTTTGGCATATATTCAGTCAATAAACAAACTGTTTTCAAACTGTATTTTGTATGAGGACTCGTAATCCCCCACACCTTCTTTCCCCCACCCCTACTTTCTAAAGGTGTCAACAATGTAGGCTTTTATTTAAAACCAAGAATCTGAAGTATTTACATAACGGATTATAAAACCGGCTCTGCTGCATAAGCAAATACATCGTAGGGGTACTGGACGAAATGAACACATATGACGTCATTCAATGTGTGATGATCTTTACTTTGTCTTGTGTTATTAGTTATAAGCCCAAAAGACAATGGCGACAATGGTGATGTGTGAACTTCATATCTGTTAAAGTTACTTGACAACCATGTCAACTCAAGTGACCTACTCTCTAAGAACCCCAATAAGCTCTGCTCACTCCTAGCGCACACTATTTTTTACCCCTGAACCATATCAATATTTTATCCTGCCCAATTTTACACCACATATTTGTTGACCAAAAATAAAATTAAAAAGAAATGATGATATGACAGGATAGTCCATAGGATAGTCAGTAGGATTGTCAGTAGGATAGTCCGTAGGATAGTCCGTAGGATAGTCCATAGGATAGTCCATAGGATAGTCAGTAGGATAGTCAGTAGGATAGTCCATAGGATAGTCCGTAGGATAGTCCGTATGATAGTCCATAGGATAGTCCGTAGGATGGTCCGTAGGATAGTCCGTAGGATAGTCAGTAAAATAGTCCATAGGATAGTCCATAGGATAGTCCATAGGATAGTCCATAGGATAGTCCATATGATAGTCCATAGGATAGTCCATAGGATAGTCCATAGGGTAGTCCATAGGATAGTCCATAGGATAGTCCATAGGATAGTCCGTATGGTAGGAGTTGTTGGAGGTGGGATGTCTTCTCCTGTCAATAAAAATTGACTTTTGTTTGAAAAGATTGGTCAAGACAAGGCGGTGAAATAAACTGTGATGACGTCAGTGGGGGTTATTAGTATTGTTTTATGTGTTAAGAAAATTGATTACGGTCCAGAATGATGGAAAGAACCAAAGAAATATCCCTTGCAAGTTAACCACTACGTATCAAAAATGTTAAATACATTTATTATAGAGCGGGAAGATTTAAATGTATTTTATACATGACCTATATTTCTAGCCACGTGGATCTTCAAGACCAGGGCGCCAAATTTGCCATGACCTCATTTCCTCTCTACACAGTACTGTCCAGGTGATTAGTCCCTATTATACGTCAAATGCTCCACTGGTCAGCTTCCCGGTCATAAGGGTGAAGGTCGTTATGAGAGTAGGCCGGACCATAACCGTCCAATCGGTGTAGCCCCGCGCCATGATTGGTTGAAACCCAAGTGGCGTCCAATCTCTTAGCAACCTATAAAAGCGTTCACACTTCAGTACAAAGTTACTCTTGACTTGAATTTCAGTGATCATTGCTGTGTGAATATTCTTGATAAGTTCTACCTTCGTATATCTTAACTTGATACGCTTTCAACGACAAAGTTCCTTCATTGGATTAAGATATTTTCTTCGAACGTTGTGACGCGTGTGTGGTGAGTAAGCCATCTTATAAACATTTTATTATATGTATACACCATTTCAAAAACATGTACCGCTAATACGATTTCTAAAGTGTAGTATTTTTTTGCCCAAGCAAAGGTTTCAATAACATATAACTTATTTGATGAGATTAGAATACTGCTACGGTTTACCATTAACGTTTAGATATTTTGAAATATTAGGTCAAAAAATTTGGTCACAATTTAGTTATGTTGCTTTTTAAAAAATCTGTTAAAAGCTATTTACAACTAAATAGGCTATTTAGTTGACGCTGACTTATAATGTCATTACTGACAAGTGAAATGACATTCAACAGTCAGTAGTGAGAAGTGAAATGACATTTAATTGTCATTAGTGACAAGTGAAATGACGTGTAGTAAAAGTCAATAGTGACAAGTGAAATGACGTGTGGTAATAGTCATTAGTGACAAGTAAAGGGACATTTAATTGTCATTAGTGACAAGTGAAATGATATTTGACATTAGAGACAAGGGAAAATGCATTTTATAGTCATTAGTGGAAAGTAAATTGACATTTTATAATCATTAGTGCCAATTAAAGGTATAAGACGAATTTGTTGTGCTGCACTTGCAATAAATAAGATTTGAAAATAATATAGAAGCAACATTTTCATTTCAAAACGTGACCCCTAAGTGTCCATAGGATAGTCCGTAAAAAATAATGATGGACTTTCAATATTTTTGACATATAAGTCTGGTTGGACGACTTGAGTCAACAATTATAAGCGCAAGACTATGTCTGTCTTTCTTTGTTTATTGATATACATCCATATACTCAACGTAATTTTAAAATAAGAATTCCTTTTTAATACTTTGCGTGCATTTAAAGATGTTTAAAATAATCAATCACCAGTTAACGATGATAACAAACAAAAATCGATTTTTCTTTCTATTTCTTGAAGTATATATATATATAATCAATTGACGTACAAGGTACAACTTAACATTTAAAAAAAAAAGTTTCAATAAACTTGTATCCCTTCACAAATGTTTAAATATTAAGTGATGAGGCTTGGGATGCTATCGATGTCAACTGTTTGTTCGATCTGACATTTTAAATACTCAAGAATAAACTCAATAATCAACATCCGGTTTGATAAAACCTACATTAACATCACTAATATCAAAATGCTGTTTTTATGACAACGTACATTGTATTTCCCGCAATTTATCTAAATATTAATATTGTTTTGTCTTTTTTAAACATTTTGTAGGGAAAAAAAAAATGGATAGAAAACACAGATCAAAGCGAAGCTATCCGAGGTCACCGCCACCTTCCACACCCAGAACCCATAAGCGACGACACCCACCATCAACCCAGAATGATAGACGAGTGGTGAAGGTTCACTCAGTCTCGAGGAGTTCCTCCAGTGACAGTGACTCCAGCAAGGGATACAACCGATTCAACAAATTCGGCAGCGAATCTCGTCACGTCCACGAGAGCAGATCGAGACGAGGAAAAGATCCATCCACGAGTCCCGAGCCATGCGCGAGACGCAGACGTCAGGATGGGAGAAGCAACAAAAGACGACGTAGTCCATCTACGTCACCGGAGTCTTACTCCCCAGTCAGAAAAGTCAGTGCTGTCAGTCATGTGGAGGTTAATCGTTATGATACAGGTCGCTCATCAAAGCAAATTGACTGCAAAATGAAGCTCCCATATCATTCCCCATCTCTATCTGGTCCTTCCTATGATGATATCACGACGGATGAAGAACCGAGACCACACAGATCTGAACGTCCAAGCGAGAGGAAGTCCTCAAAATGTGGAGAAAGATCTCCTGACAGGGTCGTTGTTAAACACAGCAGCTCCAGTTCGTCAGATGAAAATTATCGATCACGTGACAGAAGCTCAAAGCGTCTCAAATTAGAATCACAGAGCCACACATTAAAGGAAGAACGAATAAGTCCAGCTAGGAAATACGAAAAAAATGATTACAAATTTAAAACTCCAATTTTAACAAGAGATTCTTCCACCATTTCTATCAAACTTGATAAGTCACAAAAGCCAAAATCAGCTCCTGCAATGTTTGATTGCCGTGATGTTCTGAACAACGACAGGAAATATTCTTCATCACAGCAATACCGTCATCAAGATATTCCTGGAACATCAGGGGCACACTACTCCAAGACAAAATCTGAGACCATATTATATAAAGCAAAAGGTTGGTGCATATTTTTTTTAAATTTAATTTTTGTGCACATCTCATCTCATACTTAATATAGTAATAATATTCAGAATAAAACTTTATTCTTCACCCTGTAATAAAATTCACAATAGTAATAATTAGATATCACAGTATAAATGAATTCTTTTAAATTCATATCAGCAGATGAGCCAAGGGTAGATAACATCAAATCCAGATTTCCTTTGACGGATCTCAGATTTAAGTTAACCAGTCCTACAGCGTCTTCCATCTTAAACATCAACTTCAACAGCCCGGTCAGCTGCTGTACGCCCATCAGAAAACACGACCATAACACCCCACAGTCTCTCCCAGCGCCAACTCATCACACCTGCCACAGCTCCCACACGACTAGGAGGAGATCCGACACGTTAAATTTTAATAAGTCCGCCTTGAGATCACCGGCACCCTGGTCTAGAGACTTCATTGCAAGGAGTCGAGGGTACAAGCACACGTTCATAGACAGTCATTGCCATATTGACTTCACCTACAAACAGATGAATGTTGACATGACCACCACGTACCAGAGTTTTAGGAAGTCCATGGCTGACTCGTATCCTGACAACTACGAAGGATGTGTTGCTGTCTTCTGTAATCCCAATACATTTTCTGCTAAATGTGAGTACATCTGTTTCATTGCTTATACATAATATGTTTTCTTTATAGCTAGTCTTGTAAGAGAAAAATATGGCCAATGTATTGTTTACGTCCTCTTCGTTGGATTATCTTTGCATTTTCTCACATATTTAAAACAAAAGTTTGCCACATTGCATTAAGTTTGTTATTTATATTGTATTTTTATTTTAAAAATATTATAGGATGTTTCATAATCCCTATTTTCGACCCATCCATTGCTCTCTAACAGTTCCCAAAGATCTGATCTTCAGAACGGTATCTGGAGAAGACGGCGTGTGGTTGGCGTTTGGTTGTCATCCCAAGAGTGCCACCGAGTTCAAGGACGTTCACGAGCAGGGGCTCAGGAAATATCTGAGTCACCCAAAAGTCGTTGCGCTAGGGGAGATCGGCCTGGACTACTCGGGCACATTCCACAGACACGCTGACGTACAGAAGAGAGTGTTCAGGACCCAGCTTAAGATCGCCTTGGACATGTTCTTGCCACTGGTCATTCATTGCCGTGATGCAGACGATGATTGCTTGGAGATCATGCGCGAGGTGAGTTGATATTCGTTACATGAATCTTAATGGATATGACTATATTCACGTTTAAGAAATATGTTTTGACTTATAAAATTATTGAGTGCCTAAAGCTAGTAAGATAACGATTACTTAGGTCATTATGTAGTCAATGACCAGGATTGCCATGTTACAACATCTAGTGAGCAATATAGTCCATGTTATAAACATTATAATAATAGTATCTGATTGGTGTTTTTTTTTTTTTTTAACTTTCAATAATTTCAATATTTCCCAAAAATAATGTTTATAAATATATTTACACAATATTCATGATAGATTTGCTGTTGCAGATTTCAATACTTATGACGCTAAGAATATGTCACTTTTAAATGAAGAGTCTTATTAAAGTATAACTTGTGCATTTACTACAGTTTTTAAAGCTTCAAGTTCATTTTATATGCCTGTGCTTTGGAAACTCCTCATTTAATGTACTTAATTAAAATTATTTGTATTTATCTTCTTGACAGCTGGTACCACGTGACCATAAGATCCACGTCCACTGCTTCACCAGAAATGAGCACAAAGCCAGACACTGGCTGGACAGTTTCCCTAACCTCTACCTGGGTCTGACCCCTGTCATCACCTACCAGTCAGCCGTGGAACCCATGACCGTGGCCGCTAGGATCCCCCTGGACCGACTTCTGCTAGAGACTGATGCCCCTTACTTTGTACCTGGCAGCATCAAGATATGTTTGAAACAACTTGATTTACACCTTTCTAGTTAATTGTTTTTTTGTTGTTTTTAAATTCTCTTTATCACAAAGATTCCATAGTAGCATCCAGGTTTCATCCTAAATAACTAAAAACTGAATAAAGAAATTCAAATAGAAAACAATTTAATACATGTTCAATCCGGAAGTATTGAGAATCGTTAATTCTTTTGTTTGATTTTATATCATACTTATTATTTTTAAAATATTGTTATCCAGTGCATAAATTCAATCAAGTAGATATACAAAATAAATTAAGCTCAAATCCAAAATTGTAAATTAATATTTTAATTAATATTTCGTCTGGTTTCAGGGCAACTTAAAAGTGTCTCAACCTGGTCTCGCTCTGATAACAGCTGAGAGAATCGCAGAATTACGAGGTGTCTCAGTGGACGTAGTGCTCAAAGCCACAAGACAGAACACCAGAAATATGTACGGAATATAACGTCATCAAAGGGAAGCAACCTTAAGCAGCTGTGACATGTCCTAGAATGATGCCATCCCCTTGTTTGTCATATGTGTTGACCTATTGCTTTTTAAGAATCTTAAAACAAATGACAATTAGTAATAATACATTTTTAAACAAAAATCTATAACTATGTTCATAAATTAAATTTTTATCAATAATTTAAATCCAACATTTTTATCTTTAGTTTTACCTTGTACTGCCATATATTTTTGTTTTTAATTGTTATTTACACAATGTTAGAACTAAATTTACCAGTAAATTTTATAGTGTTATAAATGATGTCTTTTTTTAAAAAAAAAATGTTGGATTTTTAAGTTGATGGCTTGTATGCGTCTTATGAAATTATTTAACATGTTTGTCAAAATCATGCACAATCATAAAAAAATTATCACTTTGAGAAATGTTACCCCGTAAATGATTTATAAGTCATTAAACTATATTGTATTATTGTATTACAGTTTTATTGTAATTTACCCAACTTTAATAATCAGTGCACACATTTAATGTTCTCAGACATTTCCATCTTAAAATCATTGATGCCGCAGATGAACAAATATAGATATAGAAAACAACATTCCATTCAGCCAGATTAAATCCAATAAAATCAAAAAATCACTCTAAGTAACCTATATTTTGGTAGGATCTTTGAAAGCCCAGGCTAATACAGTGGCAACCTGTTCTGTTGGGCAGTGTCAGGCTAATACAGTGGTTATCTGCTCTGTTGGGCAGTGTCAGGCTAATACAGTGGCAACGTGCTCTGTTGGGCCGTGTCAGGCTAATACAGTGGTTATCTGCTCTGTTAGGCAATGTTAGGCTAATACAGTGGTTATCTGCTCTGTTGGGCTTTGTCAGTCTAATACAGTGGCAACCTGCTCTGTTGGGCAGTGTCAGGCTAATACAGTGGTTATCTGCTCTGTTTGGGCAAAGTCAGGCTAATACAGTGGTAACCTGCTCTGTTGGGCTTTGTCAGCCTAATACAGTGGCAACCTGCTCTGTTGGGCAGTGTCAGGCTAATACAGTGGTTATCTGCTCTGTTTGGGCAAAGTCAGGCTAATACAGTGGTAACCTGCTCTGTTGGGCTTTGTCAGTCTAATACAGTGGCAACCTGCTCTGTTGGGCAGTGTCAGGCTAATACAGTGGCAACCTGCTCTGTTGGGCAGTGTCAGGCTAATACAGTGGCAACCTGCTCTGTTGGGCAGTGTCAGGCTAATACAGTGGTTATCTGCTCTGTTGGGCAATGTTAGGCTAATACAGTGGTAACCTGCTCTGTTGGGCTTTGTCAGTCTAATACAGTGGCAACCTGCTCTGTTGGGCTTTGTCAGTCTAATACAGTGGCAACCTGCTCTGTTGGGCAGTGTTATGGATCAGTGTATGAACGTCAGACTCTTCTGCCACCCTGGCCTCCCCAGAAGTATTCAATGCGGGGGATTTTGGGGGGGGGGCACGAAGTCAACTGATTTGCCTCTAAAAGCTTCAAGTACAACTGTAAATTTAAAATACATAAATATAAGATGAAATATAAGAAAACATAAAATTGTCATTTGCAAAAAATTGAATTTCATAAACTGACCCAAAAATTGCAATGGAAATTTATAATAATTAATTGCAACTGTTGATATAGAATGACACTGGCTTCACACCCAAAAGTAGTTTGATGCTGCTAGTTGTTACAACAAAATAATCAGTTTTAGTTGAAATCATCAAGCCTCTATAGCAAGGCAACTTTTAAACTGTTTAGTATTTTTAATCCATCAACTGTTTGATGAGTACCATGTTTGATCAAGACATGTATGAGTACCAAGGTGATCAAGACATGTATGATTACCATGGTGATCGAGACATGTATGAGTACCATGGTGATCATGACATGTATGATTACCATGGTGATCGAGACATGTATGAGTACCATGGTAATCAAGACATGTATGAGTACCATGGTGATCGAGACATGTATGAGTACCATGGTAATCATGACATGTATGAGTACCATGGTTATCAAGAGATGTATGAGTACCATGGTTGATCAAGACATGTATGAGTATCATAATTATCAAGACATGTATTAGTACCATGGTTGATCAAGACATGTATGAGTACCATGGTTGATCAAGACATGCATGAGTATCATAATTATCAAGACATGTATTAGTACCATGGTTGATCAAGACATGTATGAGTACCATGGTTGATCAAGACATGTATGAGTACCATGGTAATCAAGACATGTATGAGTACCATGGTGATCAAGCCATGAATGAGTACCATGGTGATCAAGCCATGAATGAGTACCATGGTGATCAAGCCATGAATGAGTACCATGGTGATCAAGCCATGAATGAGTACCATGGTGATCAAGCCATGAATGAGTACCATGGTGATCAAGCCGTGAATGAGTACCATGGTGATCAAGACATGTATGAGTACCATGGTGATCAAGCCGTGAATGAGTACCATGGTGATCAAGACATGTATGAGTACCATGGTGATCAAGCCGTGAATGAGTACCATGGTGATCAAGACATGTATGAGTACCATGGTGATCAAGACATGAATGAGTACCATGGTGATCAAGACATGTATGAGTACCATGGTGATCAAGACATGTATGAGTACCATGGTGATCAAGACATGTATGAGTACCATGGTGATCAAGACATGAATGAGTACCAAGGTGATCAAGCCATGAATGAGTACCAAGGTGATCAAGACATGTATGAGTACCATGGTGATCAAGCCATGAATGAGTACCAAGGTGATCAAGACATGTATGAGTACCATGGTGATCAAGCCATGAATGAGTACCAAGGTGATCAAGACATGTATGAGTACCATGGTGATCAAGCCGTGAATGAGTACCAAGGTGATCAAGCCATGAATGAGTACCATGGTTGATCAAGACATGTATGAGTACCATGGTGATCAAGCCGTGAATGAGTACCATGGTGATCAAGCCATGAATGAGTACCATGGTGATCAAGACATGTATGAATACCAAGGTGATCAAGACATGTATGAGTACCATGGTGATCAAGCCATGTATGAGTACCAAGGTGATCAAGCCATGAATGAGTACCAAGGTGATCAAGCCATGTATGAGTACCATGGTGATCAAGCCATGTATGAGTACCAAGGTGATCAAGCCGTGTATGAGTACCATGGTGATCAAGCCATGAATGAGTACCAAGGTGATCAAGCCATGTATGAGTACCATGGTGATCAAGCCATGTATGAGTACCAAGGTGATCAAGCCATGTATGAGTACCATGGTGATCAAGCCATGTATAAGTACCATGGTGATAAAGCCATGTATGAGTACCAAGGTGATCAAGCCATGTATGAGTACCATGGTGATCAAGCCATGTATGAGTACCATGGTGATCAAGCCATGTATGAGTACCAAGGTGATCAAGCCGTGAATGAGTACCAAGGTGATCAAGCCATGAATGAGTACCATGGTGATCAAGACATGTATGAATACCATGGTGATCAAGCCGTGAATGAGTACCAAGGTGATCAAGCCATGTATGAGTACCAAGGTGATCAAGACATGTATGAGTACCATGGTGATCAAGCCATGAATGAGTACCAAGGTGATCAAGACATGTATGAGTACCATGGTGATCAAGCCATGAATGAGTACCAAGGTGATCAAGACATGTATGAGTACCATGGTGATCAAGCCGTGAATGAGTACCAAGGTGATCAAGACATGTATGAGTACCATGGTGATCAAGCCGTGAATGAGTACCAAGGTGATCAAGCCGTGAATGAGTACCATGGTGATCAAGCCGTGAATGAGTACCAAGGTGATCAAGCCGTGAATGAGTACCAAGGTGATCAAGCCGTGAATGTGTACAAAGGTGATCAAGCCGTGAATGAGTACCAAGGTGATCAAGCCGTGAATGAGTACCAAGGTGATCAAGACATGTATGAGTACCAAGGTGATCAAGACATGTATGAGTACCAAGGTGATCAAGCCGTGAATGAGTGCCAAGGTGATCAAGACATGTATGAGTACCATGGTGATCAAGCCGTGAATGAGTACCATGGTGATCAAGCCGTGAATGAGTACCATGGTGATCAAGCCGTGAATGAGTACCAAGGTGATCAAGCCGTGAATGAGTACCAAGGTGATCAAGACATGTATGAGTACCATGGTGATCAAGCCGTGAATGAGTACCAAGGTGATCAAGCCGTGAATGAGTACCAAGGTGATCAAGACATGTATGAGTACCATGGTGATCAAGCCGTGAATGAGTACCATGGTGATCAAGCCGTGAATGAGTACCAAGGTGATCAAGCAATGAATGAGTACCAAGGTGATCAAGACATGTATGAGTACCATGGTGATCAAGACATGTATGAGTACCATGGTGATCAAGCCGTGAATGAGTACCAAGTTGATCAAGACATGTATGAGTACCAAGGTGATCAAGCCGTGAATGAGTACCAAGGTGATCAAGACATGTATGAGTACCAAGGTGATCAAGACATGTATGAGTACCAAGGTGATCAAGACATGTATGAGTACCATGGTGATCAAGCCGTGAATGAGTACCAAGGTGATCAAGCCGTGAATGAGTACCATGGTGATCAAGACATGTATGAGTATCATGGTGATCAAGCCGTGAATGAGTACCATGGTGATCAAGCCGTGAATGAGTACCAAGGTGATCAAGCCGTGAATGAGTACCAAGGTGATCAAGTCATGAATGAGTACCATGGTGATCAAGCCGTGAATGAGTACCAAGGTGATCAAGTCATGAATGAGTACCAAGGTGATCAAGCCGTGAATGAGTACCATGGTGATCAAGCCGTGAATGAGTACCATGGTGATCAAGCCGTGAATGAGTACCAAGGTGATCAAGCCGTGAATGAGTACCAAGGTGATCAAGCCGTGAATGAGTACCAAGGTGATCAAGCCGTGAATGAGTACCATGGTGATCAAGACATGTATGAGTACCATGGTGATCAAG